ACTTTGTCCTATTCACTTAAAGAAAATAAAAACACTTTAAAATGATTTTCTTCTTATAAGTGAAAAAAATAAAATCAAAGACAAAGAAAATAAACAATAGAAAAGTTTTTTTTTCACCAGGGTGACCCCTACACCAACTGTCTGATGTAACAAATGGAGTTCTCATTTGGCTTCCTTGTAATTTTTTCTTCATTAAAGGCATATTTGAAAAAATAAAATAAAGTCTGACTCCACTTCCTGTTTCTGTGCAGAGAGTCTCTGAAGGTCGAGGGCTGGTTGGAAAAAATAAAAAGGTTTATTAACTGTATTCTGAGATGAGTCTACTGCAAATCTAAACAGAATGACAGGATTGTGCTACACTGGAGTTTTTATAAGATGGGTAACAGGTTTGAGGGCTGAGGTTGGACCCATGAAGCAGGCAGAACGGCAGGTTCAAAGTAAATAAAACTATTTATTAAATTACAAGCCGACGTGGCGGCAGCAAAATACAAAAACAGGAGCACACAGGAGGAAGCCAGAGTGGAAATAAAAACAATGATTGTGTGGAGTTTGCTGTTTTTAGGTGTTGGTTCTATTTCATCCCTACTGACCATCAGAGGCGGTGCTTCAAGCACAGAATGATCATTCTTGCGCAGGTTGAGAATTAATACTAACAAAGTCACCTGTCACCTGCCAGTGACCCACATGACTGTATAAAGTCACGTGATAGCCGACGCTCAGTCCCTTTTGTTCTTCTCGCGTGCAGGTATACGGAGTACCGGTGGTCGTGCTAAAGCTAACAGCTTTGTAGTTACCACTTCTTTATTGCTTGTTGCCAGAAGCCTCGTGACCGTTACGTGTGTTTCTGTCAGAGCTGTGGGTGAGTCCACTCTCCAAGGGCTGCACAAGCTTCTCCTACCAGGTAGCAGTTGTCGTTTGAAGCTACGACTGGTAAGTTTGTTTAATTCTTTTCAACGACAGTAGTTTACTGTTCGCTTTAATTTGTCACATTGTTGTGGCTTAATTGGACTCACCGGTAGCGTTTTCTGCTCGAGTGACTTTTTTCAGTTGTTTCGGTCACAGTTTCTGCAGCAGTATGATGCTGGAAAATTTGTGTTGTGCGACCTGTCTGGCTCCGCCCCAGCCTGATGACAGGCACGACGAGTGTCCTTCTTGCCTCGGTGTAGAGCATCTGAGGACAAGTAGGGGTCTCTGCGGAGAGTGAGCGTGCCCCAACGAAAGGCGATTCTAAAACGACACACCTGATTTGATGGACTTTGTTAAAGGGACACACCTGACTGGACAAGCAAAAAAGGGGCGACACCGTATGGCACCACCTGATTGGACAAGAACAAAAGGGGTGTTACTGTACGGCACCACTTTTTCTGGAGACCCCTACTTGGGCCACATTTCTCCTGGTTAACCTTAGTGTTGGGGTCAGGGTCAGGCTGAGGTCTAGGATACCGTCATGTGGGTCTCATAGCCCACAGTGTTTATGCTTTAGACACRCCCACTCTTGTGTCACGCCCACTTTGATTCCGCAGATAACCCTTTCTCTCTGAGGGAGGCGCTGACAGAAGACGCGTGTTCTAACTGTGCCGTTATGCCACTGACTGTCAGACTGAGCGCTTGGCTGTGCTGGAGCAGCCATCTGACTGGGATGGTGCAGCAGAGCCCGTTGACACCGGGACAGGCGACGTGCCTGAAGCGGTCGGCTATTATGGCTACAGAGGTCCCGGCAAAGCGAGCCAGACAAACTGATACACAAAGGTTGTCCACGGAGATGGTTCAACTGAAGTCTGAATTGGCCCAAATGAAGGCCCTCCTCCAGTCTTTCCATGCTGATGGTGGCAGTGTGGTTCCACCTTCTGAGCCAGAAGGTGTGGTCCGTGATGAGGATATCATTTCGGTGGCAGCTTCAGGTTCCCAGTTCTGGGAAGGCCCTCCTGCACTCTAAAAAGAGTATTTGGGCTATAGTTCATGCTGGGACTTTATTTATTTCTAACTTGATTAGTTTGGTTTAGTTTAGGTAACTTGCTTTTATGGGTTCAATAAACTTAAAATTGACACATTTTCATCTGAAATAAACTTTTACTTTCAGTCCAAGTGAAATAATTAAGTTTCATGCAGCTGTACTATCCTACGTCTGACGTCATGACATAAACTTTTCCCCGACTCACAATTGAAACCGCAACCATTTTTTCCCTGAACATCGACTGCGGACGTGATTCGGATTAAAAAGTAAGTGACTTACAATGGAAATGACTTTCTAAACGAACAGAGTTCTGTTGGTAGGAATGATTAAACTCCTATGAGTTAGTTTTTTAGTTCTCTGTCCARCTGAATTGAAAAGTCCCCTGCCGTCTTCAGTTTGGAAAGAAGTTGCTCCTTAAAGTTGCTTGAAAAATCAGTAATCCTTCTGGAAATTGTGTTGTCACTCAWTTTAATTGATCTGCAGTTTTTTCATCGATGATTGCACTAACCATGTCTATTGCAGCAGGCAGGATTAATTTTTTCTGCAATTGAGTGAGGGTTTTTTTCTCTGTGGCCAGGTAAGAAACCATGTATGATGCAAGCTGTGCTTTGTCATTCAATGTCACATTTCTGCAAAGAAGATCAGCAGATGATTTTATCTCCTGTGCCTTTCTTTGTAAAAAATCGAGTGGTTTATTAACCACCTCACTGTGGACAGTTTCCAGGTGTCTCTTTCGTTTGGTTGGCTTTAAACTTTCACTTGCAAGTTTTGTTGGCATATTACACACAATGGTTTGAAACAAAAACAAACCCAAAGACTGCTTGCAGTTTTTGAACTTTTCTTTATTGTGCAATACTTATTTTTAGCATCTTTYTTCTACGTTACTTAGAAGAAAAGTTTAAATGAGCATGAAAAAGCATAACAAATAAAGCATTATTAATACTGGAGCAATATTTTCTATGTGGAATAAAATTATCCAGGATGACACCAAGACCGTCTCTGTCTCAGATGTTGCCGTAGAGACAAAGAYCCTGGAACAAATTTGAGGAAAAACTACAGTCAGAAAAAAATTCTAGACTTTACCTGTTTATTTCCCACAAAATAAACCTTACWGTGAAGGTAAACAACTGTTAGTAAGGTTGCAGTTTCCTGAAATGTCACAACAGTTAACTGAAATGACAACAATAGAYGCAAACGATGTCTACTTTTCCAATAAAAGTCAATTTTTCATCAAGGTATAAAACTACAAAAATAATGTGTTGTTCTTGTTCCATAAATGTTGAGGTCAATATGGAGACTAAACCCCATCAGACCATCACTGACCTCAGGAGCTGGAGGAGCAGGTCGCCTTTTCTGACTGGATCAAAATCAGGAAGCAGATAATTACTAATCAACTAAATGAATCACAGCTGTCATTTAGAGCCTCTAAGGGATACTCACTTCTTTGGTGACGGACATCGTGGTTTAGAGGTGTGGGTGTTAAAGTCTACAGTGTCAGAGGTCCTTCTGGAAACAGAGGAAGAGGAAAATCATAGAGAAGGAGCTTTTTGTGTGTATCTGCCTGTAAAAATGTTTGTTTGACAAAAATAAAAACTTACAAATAACCAACGCTGTAGTTAGCGCGGTCATCCAGACGTCTGTGAGATAATAAGAGTGGTCTTATGATGAATTTGGTTTCTGAAATTAATGTTTAAGATTTATTTTCATGATGAAATTGAAATCAGTACCTTGAAAATCGGTTCCAGAATGACCTCCTATAAAAGAAAAATGTTATCATTGAACAGAAACTTAAATTTGAACGGGTGTAACAAACATCTACTGTATGAAATTGATCCACCTCTCAGTGTTCCACCCCACACGATCTTCCTCTGATCTTCTGAAAAAAGAATGTAAATACGGAAATCATACGGCAGATTAAAAAAGGCTCCAACAGTGTTTATAATGTGAGTCGAATGAATTAGTCCAGTTTCGAAAACAGCAGTGTGCTTATATGTACCGTTCCTCTGGCCTTGGAGGTGTTCTCCTGTTTCCCTGAGGATTTCTCCTGTGCATTTTAAATCATATGTTTAATAGTATAAATATATATATAAAAAAGTGGGAGAAATTTAAAAAGAAAAATGTCTGAACCAAGCTTACCTGGACAATCTGTCCCACATGGATCGCCTGTAAAAGTGTGAAATACAGGAACACGTTTTTATGATTGTTAGTGAAAATTACTTTTTAAACTAGCATTCCTTTCATGCTAAAGTTTTATGCCGACTTTTGTTTGCGCCAAGGTTGATTAGCTTTGGTGGACATTTTAAATAAGGTTGACTCCAACAGTTAATAAAGTATAGCGAGCGAATWGATGTGTCTTCTTCAAGCTAATTGGCTGGCAGGGTTTTAAAAACAGCAAGCTCCACCTCCACAATACATAGATATTAATAACACTACCGAGTGTTGTAATGAGGGTGAACAGGTAGTTTATTTACGATATCAAAAAAAGACTCAAGAGTGTTTATGCATAATATGTATAATATAATTTGTGTTTGTATAATATCGATAAATATTGGTTTTCGGCCAAAACAGCAATAATTATATCGGATACTGATGTTGGCTTAAATTTTCATATCGGTGCATCACTATTTTAAACATATAATTGTCTGGACCCCATATGTTGTGTGTCCTGTGAGTCAGTCCTAGGCATGCAGACCGTGTTATGTGTTTCATTCAAACCATTGGGTAATGAAAAGTTTTGTGTATGGCCCTTCTTTGTTGGCACTGGGTGATACTAATCAGTAACATACCTTATCATTCTGCAGCTGTACTTAACTGAGCTGAGTGGTCATCTCACTGATTTTGATGCATGCATCAGGTATACATGTACAATGATTGAGATGAATCAGAAATAGCAGCTAAAAAAACATTTTGCAGTTCAAAATATAGTATTGCTTAAGAAAAGTTTCTTCCCTTGCAAAACAGTTTAAACAGGTCTCAGTGTGACATTAAATACCCACCTTTTCTCTGGTCGGGGTGGTGGTCCTGGTCGGTCATTAGCCTGTTTTCTGTTGGGAAGAAAACAAATCAGTAAACAAATTAATCTTCATGCCAACAGGAGTAAAGGCCTCTGCATGGTCCATCTGAACCTGCRAAATCAGCTCTGGTTGATGTAGTTGCGTCATGAAAAATGTGTCAATTTGTTCTCAGTCTTGTCAGTCTTGGCACACGGTTATAAAGAACTTGTAAGATTTACTTGAGAAAATCCTATAAACGATTTGCACTTACTTTTGTTAAGTAAATTTAAATGCTACAAATTCATGTAATATTTNATTATTATTATTATTATTATTATTGTTGTTGTTGTTGTTGTTGTTTGTGTAATGGAATGGATCTGCTTTACAATAATTTTACCTGCCATCCTGATTTTGAAGCTCCGCAATGCGATTCCTTCAGGAAGAAAACAAAGTTGAAAATTACCAAGTTGGTGGCACTTTATAATAAATACACCTGATTTGGTTAGCTAACGTTGAAAGCATCATTATTAAAGATGATTCATATTTAAKAAACTATAAATTAACACATTTAATAATGCTTTACCCATAAAGGCTAATTACCTCCAAAACCACCAAATTCATTGGTTATCCATGCTTAATAACTCATGAATTAACTATTCTACATACTGTGTGTACAGACTGTCAGGTGGTTAATGTGAGGCATAAACCCACTAAGGTTAATTTTAGAGAAAATTACCTGGACTAGGTTAAAGTAGACTGGCAGATTGTTGCCTTCCAACGGATTAGAAGGTACACAGTCTGAAGCCATTCTATGGATAACCCACTAGGCGGCACAGTCGTGACAATCTGAAGCCATTCTATGGGACTGATAACAGCATCCATTTAATGGACTGATAACATCCGAACTGGCTGCTCCTTAAAAACCTCTTAAAGTTTCTGASCCTCCCACTTCACGTCTTCACAACAACGCTTCAGAGCAGTGGTGCTCTGTGGGGCGGGAACTCGATMGAGGAGGTGGTGCTTTATACCAGCCAGTGTTTAGGCAGCTCCACATGGCTACAACAGGAGATTCAAGGATTTCTCAAACATGCATGAATGAGTTAAAGCAACACTCTGGGTATGTTTTTGATGAGATAATGACATTATAACATTATATACATGATAAAGCTCAAAAATTWAATTTTGCATAAAACACCCAACCCCCTTTCCATTATTATTTTAACTTTAAATTGAATGGTAACTCCCAAAGTAATTTGTGCACTAAATAGATTGTAAAACCTAAAACAAAAGAACACACAGTCTTAGAAATAAATCGATACAATAAATTCTGCTTTTAATTACAATAAAACACAATTTGAGTTTGACACAACTTTTAAGTTATAATGTGATACAACAAAGCCAAATTCTATTACTTCTTGAAACTAGTTTTAAAACCTACTAAAATGCTTAGCTGGATTCACATGAATTTTAGGGGGTACCACAAGGTTCTTCCCTAGGTCCTCTGCTATTTATAATTAATGCTATATTTATTATTATTTAATAAATCAATTTAGCATATTACCCCTTTTTAAGGTAGTAGTAAATAGTTAAGTATTTTTGTGAACCCTTCCTAAGTGAAAACTATTCTTTCTTAAGTATTTGTTAATGTAGAAAAAAGGACACAAGTTCCTTTTCACCTGTGGAAATCAGACCTAAACCATTGTGAGGTCAGACATTCTCCAAACATTAATACATGTCTAACACATGGTGTAAAAGTACATTTATGTGAACATACATGTACACACGTTCTGTAGAATAGTTCATTAATGACCTATTAAGCATACATGAGTATGTTGGTTTTGAAAGTAATTGGCCTTTAAGGTGTAAAGAATTAATAAATGTGTTACTTTATAGCTTATGAATCATCCTTAATTAAATGTTTTCGATGTTAAATAACCATTTATTAATGATTAAGTAAGGATAAATAAGGTGTAGTCGTTATAAAGTGGTACCAATAAGTTTATATTTGCCTAAATCTTACAGGTAAAACAAAGACTCCATATCTGAATTTTGTCATTACTCACTTGTATCTTTTCACCATGACAATGCAGAAAAGTCCAAAGATCACAATAATACTGGTTGCCACTGCTACAGGAATGATGATGTGATTAAAGTTGACCGTACCTGTCAACAGATCATCATTATTAGATTTTTTTCTGTTTAGCAGTTCAGTTATTCAAAAACTAAGTTCATCAAACCATGTTTAATAACCAAAACAAGAAAATCTCACGTTTTACATTGATCGTTATGCTGGTGGATGATGTCCGCCCTCCACTGAATGTCGCTGTGCAGGTCAGATCAGTGCCGTCATGTTCCTCCTCAGGAATAAATGTCAGGATAGACTCCACCTCCCAGATTCCATGATGAATGTCCTGATGGACAGTGAGGGTCCCCTCTTCAGTACCCTGACTCCACATGAGTTTAGGTGCCTGTGATTGGCACGTATGACGGACCGAACACATGGCCGTGTAAGGTTTTCCCTGGGTGGCTGTCTCCGGATGAGTCAGGACAGGTTTTGGAGGTTCATCTATTAATGAACAAGAAAGATGTCAGTCGAAGGGTGAATTGATTGAATTGAAATGATAATGATTTATGAAGTGATGAAAAGATGGTGACATACTGATCATTTTGAGTTTAACACAATTATGAGTGAAGGAGAACTTGTCAGAAGTGGGATTATTGTTGTCTTTTTCAACCAATTCAATTCGATAACAGAAAGGGCCATTGTCATGATCGTTAACGGGCCTAATTTCTAAGGTACAGTTTCCCTGACCCAGACTTCCCAACATCTTTGTTCGTTCCTTAAAGCTGTCCAAGATTCTTGATCGATCGTCATGGTAGATAATTTGGCTTTGATCGCCTTTACGATGCCAGATGCCTCTGAGTCTGGAGGAAGGCAGCTCTCCTCCAGGATGGCTGAATGAACATGGCACCACAACACAAGTGGACACCACGGCATCAATTTGTTCTTCTACAGAGGCTGTCCACTTGTCACAGAACACAAGGCTGCAAACAACTGAAAAATATGTATGATATGAGAGGTCTAAAATGACTAACAATTAGAAAAAAACTGAAAAATTTAAAATATTTTACCCGCCAAAAGCAGACCAAAGACAATAATCTTTTTTTCTTTGTCCATTCTTCTGAGGTGCTGATGGTTGGACACACTGTGGGATGTTTAAATCAGGATAGAGGACATCAATCTAAAAATACGAAGAATATATTATAAGAATGTGATAACACCAATGCGGAACCAGGGCTGACCATGGCCACCATAGAAAAATCTTTGGCCACCCCACCCACCACTTTCCCGGCAACATTTTGATGAATTTTAAACGCAGAATGTTCAATTCAATTGCGCTGCTCAAATAGGTAATTTTCATCATGTAAATTAACGAGAGAATGAAACAAGAAACATGATTAGACTCTCAGTAATTTCCATTTTCTGGGCCAACCCTATGTGACCAGTGGTCCCAATCTGGCCACCCCAATTAAAATTGTCTGGCTCCGCCACTGGGGTAACATGTCACTACATTTAAACTCTCACTAGTTTTATAGTGTGCAATAACCACCACAAGACACCACCTGATTATGTACATCAGTCCTTCTGACCTAAGGAATGCCTCTTTATAAAACTAAAATCTTGCAAAATGTCATGGATACTTTTTGCATTAACATTAATGTTTCTTGTTCCTTCCTGATRTATTTATTCAGAAAACCATTTTATTTCTCTAAAGATAAAAATAATTGCACAGGTATAAACAAGATAAACAAACTATTAGAAATTTTCAGACAACAAAGATACACATGAAATGAAAAAAATATGTTTGTCTCTTTTGTTTGTTGTTTTTTTTTTATAAATTTATGTACACTTCATTTCTACTTAATCATCATTAGTACAAAATTACATATTACTAAAAAAACAATTTGATATACCCTCTTGAAAAAGAGAACATGTTGCCAAACAAAGAACTGAGTTTCTAAAAACAAAAAATCCATCTATCCATCATGTGTCAAACCCAAGGCCCGTGGACCAAATCTGCCCATCATTAACATTTTATCTGGCCCCAAAGGTAATGATTTAAATGTAATATAGTTTTATGGTTTCTTTTTCTGTCACTGTAGTGCATTCTTCTCATGATAGTTGGAAAACTTTCAAACCAAGAAAACTTTGATTTTGGTGTGGAAATATCAACAGAGAAAGTAAATATAAATAAATCAATAAATACTAACAAAAAATGGCCTTTGGCTTGAATCAACTTTATAACTTGGAGTTTAACACCTCTGACCTCATGTCTTCACTTAACGTTCAGGGTCTTGGAGAGGTGCCGTGCTGCCACATGAAATGGTGAAATCTTGTACCAGATTATCTTAAAATGATCACATGCTGAGCATAATTATTTTATGAACCCATGTTAAAGTAAATGGTCTCCTTCAATAGCATATTATTATTACAGACAGTGCACATCGCAGCCTGTAACACATTTTTACTTCTAAATAATCAAAACAGCTGCGATAGACTTGCGACCTGTCCAGGGTGTACCCCGCCCCTCGCACTGTGATTGCTGGATATGGGCACCAGTGACCCACGCAACCCTGAAAAGGAAGAAGCGTGTACAGAAAATGGAAAATGGATGGATGGATGGATACATGGAAACAAATGCCCGCATGCTGCATTTATTTTAATAGACTGAGGAGAGGAGAGGAAAAGAGACGAGAGTGGGTGAGCTGCTCCGGGAAGGGGGGGGGGGTGCGCGTGTGT